CCAAGTGGCAGAGCTTATACGCCTTAGGGCGGCTCTCCGCGTTTAGTTAATCAAGCTAAAGCTTATTGGCACTGAAACCCTCCAAATCGCAACGCCCTTCCACTGACATCCGTCCCACACATTGACTTGGCCTCCACATTTTGCCGGTCTTAACCTGCCTCTTCGGCGTGACCAGTCGTGATACCAGCTCAATTCGTCATAACTTGGCGGAGCTTGCAGCTTGATTAAGAAAGTATTGGATCAACCGAGTTTAAAGCTGTGGGCGATAGGACTAGTGTTCATCATCTGTCCCTGCTTGGCGACCCCCACCGTCACGAGCTTCGATCGAAAGGCGTGACAAGATATCTAGAAACCAGCACTGTTGCATGAGTCAAATCAAGTCGATAATCTCAACTTATATAAACCACATCTAGGGGTTCAACCATACTTATCCGCCCCCGGCTGGTGACCATCCTTCATCAAACAATCTCTTGTTTACTCCGGCTTTCCGCAAGATCCTCGCAAGTCCCCCCCACCCCCGCCTAGACACTCACAATGGGTTACGTCCTCTACATCGCCAACAAGCGCTACTCCAGCTGGTCCATGAGACCCTGGGTCCTCCTCAAAGCCCTCAACGTCCCCTTCGAAGAGCGCCTTCAGACTTTCGTCGCCGGTCTTCGCCAACCCGCGTTCCTGAGCTTCTCTCCCTCAGGCAAAGTCCCCACCCTCCAGGACGGCAACACCACCGTCTGGGACTCCCTCGCCATTGTGGAATACATCGCCGAAGACCACCCGGCCGCCTGGCCGCAAGACAAAGTCGCCCGCGCCTTCGCCCGCAGCGCCGCCGCGGAGATGCACACCGGCTTCGAGGCCATCCGCGACCAGTGCTCCATGAACGTGGCGCTGCGCATCGACCTCGGCGGGCCGCCCGACGCGGCGTTGCAGCGCGACCTTGACCGGCTCGAGGAACTCTGGGTCGAGGGTTTGACGCGCTTTGGCGGGCCGTACCTCGCGGGTGCGGAATTCAGCGCCGCGGACGCCTTCTTTGCGCCTGTTGCGACGAGGATCCAGACTTTTGGGTTGAAGGTTTCGGAGCCTGCGATGAAGTATGTGGAGACGCTGTTGGAGCATCCTGCTGTTAATCAGTGGGTTGTGGAGGGTATTGCGGAGACCGCGAGGGAGCCGTACCATGAGAAGGACGTGCTGAGAGGCCGGAAGGTCTTGAAGGACTTGACTCAGACTCAATGATTTACATACTGGAATTGGCGATGATGGTTAGGGTTTCTTGTTACATGGCGCAAGGTGGCTATTCGGGTACATGATGCTAGGCCTGTCTCGACTGCTCTAGGCTCTCTCGGGATGTCGATGGGAGATCCATCTAACGAAGACTTGCTTGCAAATAGAGATTTCACTTAAAGTTGCTTCTTCTTTGAACTGACTGTGAACGAGTTTGAGGCGGCGAGAGACTCCATGTCACCTGCTAACTTGACTCTCTAAGTGTACAAGTCTAACCCCTTCGCGGACCAGGCGTACCTGTTCCTTCGAGCATCACAGACGTTTGGAGCTTTGAAACTATTATGCAGTTGAGAGACTCCTGAATTGATTGCACACTACCTGATATGTTTCAAGACTGGCCTACAACCCGGCGTCTTGAGATTGAGCAGCTAGACTGTAAGTCTGTGAAGATAAATATATACAAAGAAGTTGTAGGCCTTTAGACCTCTCGGCAGCCATTTGATCTTCGTACACCTAGGTACATCGAATTTTCCATAACATCAAGTCTTAGTTGGGGTTGCAGTAGAAGCAGCCCATGTTATTGTCAATTCCGCTGGCCAGGTTGCCGCCGGGGTATCTGAAAATTTGGTGAGAACCCTTGGTGGCGTCACAACCGCTGCCAGCTCTATGAGGTCGTCAGTTTCTCACACTCAAAACACATCAAACACGGAAGACTAAGAAAGGGTTCCCGTACTGGTAGAAATCGCACCAGCCGCCGTTGTCAGGGCCTACAGAGCTAATACGGGAGACCCAGTAGGAGTCAGGGTAGATGCCGACGCTGATGGGGTAGCAGCCGTAGTAGCAGGAGCCACTGAAGTTCTGCCCGTCACACATGTAGACGCCCTCGCAGATGCGCTTGTTGAGACTGCGGGCGGCGTTGGAACCGTCGGACTTGAGCTTGGCGACCTCAGTCTTCAGCTCCTCGTACGGAAGGGGACCGGCGAGGACGTAGGAGTTGGCATCCTCGGGTACGGGGCTAGGGGCGGCAGCCACGAGGGTGGCCGAGACGAGAGCAAGGAGAGAGGAGACGCGCATGTTGGCGGTTGTGATGGTTTTTTTTTTTTGAGAATGGTGGAGAGGTAGGACTTGTTGAGATGGTTTGTCTTGTGTGAGGAGTGGTGAGAAGGGTTGAGGTTGACGGGAAGGCACCAGACTTTATATACCCGAAATTAGAGATGACTTCCTGAGGAGAGCCACCCGAGATACTGTTAGCAAGGCAAAGGACGGTGTTCAGCTGTCCAATGCATGGGTTCCTCGGCTCATCTCCAGCTATCACTCATGACAAAGACCATGCTTCAGCTCGGGGTGGATATCACAACAGGAGACTAGGTGGGCTTACAAGGCGTCGACCATCAACTCAGCTCCGAAGCATCCACGAAGGATTTTGCGAAGCCACCATGTTTGATGGATATTATTTTAACGGACGGCGGGGGTTCTCAAAGAACCTAGTCTAGCTTGAGGGTATTGCAACATCGCGCGTGCCCCGTTGTGCTTCTAATCGGAAAAGTCGGAAGAGCTCTTACATGATTGGAACTGGCATCAACTCAGAAACGATAGAAGAGACTAGACTTCACAGGGTTCCGCCGCATCCATCGCCTCATAGGGATGAAGCTCACCAGGATGTCTTTGGAAGATGCCTAGACTTCATGGGCTCTTCCTGATGAAGAGTCTCAGAGCATAAGCTTATAGGCTCTAGATTGGAGCGGGGGCGTTATTGATAGGCTCGAACACCGAATCTCAAGGGTAATGCCGGGAGACGGCGGACGGTGAATGGCCCATGATCCACACGTACGAAAGGTTGAAGACTCTTGTATGGACCGGCAGAAATAGATCCATGATGTAGTAAGGTTGGAATTGACGTAAATATGGCATGGGAGCATTGTAGGCTAGGAGTAGAAGAGAAGGTCCAGATGAAGGACAGATGAACTAGAGACTAGGCAGCGAGAATTCGTTCAGCCTAAGCAGCGGTTCTACCGTTACATTCAACGAACCTGGCTAAAACTACGTAGCGTAAGAGGTGTCAGCGGGGACTTGTGCCGTTGACGGCAGTCCTTCAGCGTTGAGAAGTCTGCACTTGCAGTCGTTATTCTGATATCCATTGGTACAACATGGTGGGCGAGCGAATAGTATCACTACCCACCGCAGGTGGCAGAGGCGGGTTAGCGGGAGCTGCCTATCCGCAGTAACCATGTCGAAACATGCCACGGAGATCATGTCCGTCGATTGTAGTCTTCACGCTAGTGAAAATTCAAACCCCACACTTTAAAGGCTTAACTTAGGATACCAGGGTCATTCAAGATACGGGTTGGGAGAACGAACAGCTTGAAGTTGTTGTTCTGAGCAACAAGATGGCACGGAAGGATGGCTCTTTGCAAGTCGGCAACGGTTGGCATGGCTTAGCCCAAGACGACGCAGAGCTCTCATGATTCAAAGTCCTTCGTCAAGCACAATACACTCGCCAAACGTTGATATCGTAAGATGAAGAAGTTGGAGATACGAGCGCTGTATGAGGCATGGTGGTTGTGCAGGTGAGACCCTTGGCTTCGCGTAGCCTGAAGGATTCGAATCCCGACGTTCGCAGCTGCGGTAAGCGACGTGAACTTATCAAGGGGGACCCTGAGCCAAGAGGAGATTACCATTGCGGCGGGTCTAGCTTGGCCAGCTTGGCTGTGCAACGGCCATTGACGAAGGTGATAGGTATAATGCACTGGCAGTCTGTCCGGGAATCGATTCTCGAACCTATCGAAAAGATCGAGGTGTTAAGAGCTGAAGAATGAGATAATTCGCGGGAGAAAGGCCAGCCAATCTCAATGAATTGCGAGGTATCCTATACGGACGAGGCATTGTTTAGGAAAACTGCCATCTCGTCATATGTGCGTGAACGTGCACTTGCATTTGTTGTGAGGAGCGTCAAATGCCTGCGACTTTTCAACTTCGGGATCTGGAATGGCACTTTTTTCGCGCGCAGCGGCACAGCCTGCATGATCGCGGGCTTCTGTAGCTTCAAGAACGGTTAACCTGGCGATACTTTCAACAACCAATAATCGCACCAGCCCTGATGGTCTAGCGGTATGATTCTCCCTTAGGGTCTTCATGACACGATTGGGAGAGGTCCCAGGTTCGAATCCTGGTTAGGGCCCCATTCTTTTGTTTTGGCCGATAAAAACCATCGGATAGGTTAGATAGACTCACACCTGTTCGCTGGCGTATTTTTGGCACGGATATGACCATTTTGTTGACTGGGTGGTGACCGGATGGACCAGCCTGCTGACCTCATCTTGTGTTAGTGGTGTTGGGGTTTTTTTGGGCTGTGCTTGTAAGGAATGGGAGCATAGCAAGGAGGATCAAAGATATCAGCTCTACCTGCTGGGCGATCGATTGTGAAAATGTGATTGAACGAAAGTAAGATCAAGATAGGGAAGACATGTTAATGGCTCAATATTGCCTCCAGTTCAAGCTCCAAGTTCAAACATGAGAGTCCGGACTTAGAGTTCCTTAGGCTCTGATGGCCAGAGGTGTAAAGGATATGCTTCGGAGGCCTACTGGAGGCCTACCATCAACTGCCAGAGATTGAACTCTAAGTAAACGTTCGAAGATAATTCTCGCTTTCTTGCTGGAGAGAGATACAATAAATCATCAATTGCCTCTTCAATATGTTTCAAACATGTCAAGAAGAAGCAACCGAGATAGTTGTAAATCGTTCTTGATAACCCAAACCTACACGCAGTCCGACGATCATTCTTGCAATGACAACAATCAAGATAGGACTAGGAAGAGATACAATTTCAGCTCCCAAATTCAGCGACATGTTTCGCCTTGCGGAGAAAGGAGGCAGGCACCTCGACCACCGCCACGTAAATCTCATGACGGCCGAATCCCGGACCAAGAAGATCACCAACTACATCCGCCGCAGCGTCAAAGTCTTTGTGCGTCTGCGCGATACTGTTACTGAGCTCTTGAAAGAAGCCTTGGGCCTAGCGATCAAAGCGGGAAGGATAATGCTCGAATTCGACAAGGAGCACCCGTACCTCGTCGCTCTAGTTGTCGGCGGAGTGGTGCTGGCCGTTGTCTCCCCTTAGGTGATGCGAGCCCTCGGTTTTGGACAACTTGGACCTGTCGCTGGTGAGGTTTTCAGCAGATGACTCCTCCGTCTTCTCTACCTTACGGTAAATCCTGACGCAGTTCCCGCTCAAGGTTCTTCCGCGGCAAGGTGGCAGGCGCCAATAGGCGCGGCCGTTGCGACGGGCTCTCTGTTTTCTATCTTGCAGTGGCTTGGAATGACTTGGATTTGAATCATAGGAAGGCTCTTTGGCTACAATTTGAGGCTTTCATGACCCGCCTAGTCGCATTCGAGGGCCATAGCAAGCATGAGATAATACGAGTTGAAGAAATCTATGTTTTCTCTTTCTCTAACTCTAGAAGTGCTGCCCACTTGATTCATGAGAAGCTTGACCTCTATCAGGTGTCTCCAGTGCGCTAGTTGATTAATCGTGTTGCATTCTATCCGTATCATCCTCTCTTATTTATTGATCAAATACGTTTGTGATCGAATCGTAGTGGTTCGCATGTGCCGCCTCGTATATTAGTGGGAGCAAAGCATCGCGAATCGGGTTCAACCTGCCCATTTAGCTCCGGCTACATCATCAGTTGAAGGATAATTGAATTGATGCAACAGAGAGATGGAAAGGAGCTGCTCTCTCGATTACTGGTAGCTTTCTGATCCAAGATTGTTTGGAGCACGAGCTGTTGGTTCATGTGTTTTTGGGCCCAACAATTGCACAGGTGAGTTGCATTGAACCAACGGGCGGCATATGAACGAATGAGCAGGGCGGACTCCATGTGGGAGGCCAACCATGAGGAGGCGCGGTGAGCTCGAGTTGAGCCCTTGTCTCATCCCGTTCATTCGTTAGTGAAATTGCAATAACAGCGGCAAGGCTGTCTCTCTCGATCATCTCGCGACCTTTAAGGGAGGAGAATCGTATCTTTCTTTCTCTCACACAGCGATCTTTTTGGCTCTGTATCCGCAAACTTCGCATTCTTGAAACGATTGCATTCACAAAAGACACCAAGATGGAGCACGACAAGAAGGACAACTGCAACCTCCTCGCCCACTGCCTCCCGCAGTTCCATGCGGACCCGAAGCCAATCACGCCCGAAAAGCAGACGAGCATCATCAAAGACCAACGCATTCAGTCTGCCCAGGACGCCGCTTCCGAGTTCATCGATATCCTCCGCACCGCCGAAAAGGGAGGCAAAGACCTCGAGCGCCGTCTCAGAAACATCGTCACGGTCAACTCCTGGACCGAAGAGCTCGCCAAGTACATCCTCTCCGGCGTCGAAGGCCTCGTCCGCCACCGCGACACCATCGGCCAAGTCCTGCGGGAGACTGTGGACAAGTCGACCGAAGCTGCTGACAGCGTGTTTGAATTTGCCAAGGGGCATCCCGTCTTTGTTACCATCATCGCCATTGGCGTGTTAGTTATCGTTGCCCCTTGGGTTATTGAGGCCCTTGGCTTTGGCGAATTTGGACCTATTGCCGGTAAGTCTTGTAATCTCATGCCATCGTTTCGTTTTCATCGGTCAAATTCTTACCAATATCAATCTAGATACCTTTGCCTCCTGGTGGCAGGCGCGATATGCCGGATTCGTTCCCAAGGGGTCTCTCTTCTCCTTCCTCCAGCGGCTGGGAATGACTTGGAAATGACTCCTGGGGTTACTTGGGAAGGGATTTCGATTGCGGGCCAAGCTTTAACGCTTGAGGCCAGGCATATTAATGACTGTGGAAAGGACAAGGTATGGCGACATGTCGCTGAGGCGTGTAGTTCAGGGCCAAGTTTTCTGCAAGTCTGTTAGGCCAACGGCTAGTATCCCAATTGAATCCTATTGCCTCGCAGATCATTTTCACTGCACTACTTGTGCTCGTTCATAGCCAAGCGTTTGTCAGAGCGAGTAGCTCGCGGTCCTGAAGTATATGCAAAGTATTGTATCATTGTCAAATTTTCCCTGACCCTCAAAACGCCCGAAAAGTCGACCCACGGGGAATCATAAGACACAGAGAGCAAAGCTTATCTATTACAAAGCCCCCCCTTCTTATGCCTCCTCCGTCGAAATGCCCGTAAACGCCTCCTTTTCACCATCTGCGCCCGCCTCATTATCCGTCACGGGCTCCGTCGTCTTCCACACATCGTTCCTCAACGCCTTGTCCTCCTCATCCTCGACCTCGCCAAACTTGGTGACGCTGAACTCGGGCATGGCACGCCGTTCCTTGGAGAGGATGCCGCCGCTCTTACCGGCTCTGCGTCTGCGCTCCTGCTCTGCGTCGCGCTGGATCGCCGCCTTCTCGCCCGCGGCGTCGAGCATCGTGCCCTCCAGGCTGAGGTACCCGTGGTCGCCGCTGACGCCGACATCAAACGCTTTGATGCGGAAGCGCACGCGGCCCTTGACCTTGTCCCCGGCGCCGTCGACCCAGAAGCCTGTGGTGTGGATCTGGCGCACGGCACCATGCTCGTCCTCGGCGGCGGCCTCGGTGTTCTCGACGTCAAAGGGGTCGGCCACGTAGGAGGCGGCCTCGGCTGAGCCGGCGTGCACCCAGCGCCATTCGGGGGGGAGACGGCTGGACTCGATGCTGGCGTTGAACTTGCCCCAGCAGACGACGCCGACGTGGCCCTCGTTCTCAAGGTTGATGCTGCCTTCCATCCAGGCGCCGCGGCGAGGGACAAAGAGGTCGACGTCGACGGTCACGTAGCCGAAGCCGACGGCGTACTCGTCGACGGAGGTAAGGTCGCAGTGCTCCGAGTCGCTCTTGGCGGCGTAGCGGCGGCCGGGCTGCTCCGAGACGGCGACGTTGCGGAAGGAGAGGAGGACGCCCTTGAGGTCCGGGACGTAGCGGTTCACGAGGGGCTCGAGGTGCTGCGTCGCGGCGGCGGTGCAGGGTGTGTCCCAGCCTATGGGGTAGATAGGGAGGTATAGCGAGACGGTCTGGGTGTAGAAGGGGAACTGGGGCTTGGAGGGCGCGTCGGGGGGTTGGTGGACTCGGCCTGTTGATTTCGTCTTTGCGGGGGAGTCGACGTCCATGGCATCGGCGTCTGCGTCGGCGACGGTTTCGGGGGACGCTGCTTGCTTGCTCTTCTTTTCCTTGTTTTCGCTCGCTGGCGGCTCTGCGGCATCTTCGACTGCTTGCGCTGACTCCTTCTGTTCTGACTTGCGCTTCTTCTTTTTGTCCTTCTTCTCTTTGCGCTCGGCATCCGAACCGTCTTGTTCGGCGGACTCGCCTACTGACTTTCTGTGCTTGTCCTTCTTGGACTTCTTCTTTGCGGATGATGGCTCGCCATTGGTATTGCTCGTCGCGGCGGCGTCCATTGAGAGGTCCTGTGAAGCCTGAGGAGATTCTTCTTCTTCGTCGGTGGCGTCGTTCTTGGCTACACCGAGGCTCTTTGTGCGCTTGTGCTTGCGCTCTTCGACGGCATCGTCGCCCTCCTCGCGCAGGCGCTTCTTCTCCTTCTTATCCTTTTTGCTCCTCTTGTCGGACTTGTGCCCATTGGTCGCTGGTGAGTCGGTAGACGCCATATTTGCGGTTTGGAGGGTTGCTCGGCGTTTCGTGGTTGGGGTGTTGTCGTCGTCGAATCTCGCCCGGCGGGTCGCGAGGTAGCTGCGATCCCGACTGTCGAACCAAAAAAAAAAAGGTTGAACTTCAAAAAAATTTCTAGGGAAACTTCAACGATCGGTGGTGGGGTTGCCCGTCTCCCGCGTGTGGGCCCGTTGTCCTCTCAGAAAACACCGTGCCGACAGGGATACCTAACATGGTGGGGCCTTGAGGAGTACGTACCCGGTCCGGTCGGAGTCGGGAATCTCGCTGGGCTTCAATGGCGTGCCTCATCCGAACATTTCGCTTCCAGTTGAATCCGGGATCACCAGAGACAAAGTTTCATTCTACCGGAGTTCGGAGACACAAGATGGTTGCTTGTGGTGGAGAACACCGGTTCCAAAGACCGCTTACATTCGGCTTCTTCACAGCCTGTTGTCTCTTTGAGGGAGTGTGAATGGGCGAGATGAACGGCGTGGGGCTCGACGGTTCTCGCATCCGTTCCCCTCATTGCTTCCCCCAATGCCCCTCCATCTCATAAGCGCACCTTGAGATGGCGTCAGACTCGAGGGGTCGAAGCACAGCTTGCATGTGTCTAGTAGTTTCAGTGGGGTGAACCATTGAGCCGTTATCGCTCTGTGTTTTGTAATACACTTGAAGCTATAAGAACCAGACATCCGGCCACAGGCACTCACTTCCAGGACTTGGAGACCCTTTACAACAACCAGATATCTTCTACGCTAATAAATCGTATTCGTTCGTAACACGACATAATGGCTACCTTCAAAGCATCCAAGATCTTGGTGTTCGGTGCGACTGGCCAGATTGGTGTTTTCATCACAGCGGCATTGCTAGATGCCAGCCCCTCTTTTGACCAAATCACCATCTTCACATCGCCGACCACAGTGGAGAGGAAAGCAGACTTGCTCGATGGCTGGAAGAAGAAGGGACTGAAGATCATCGCCGGCGATGTCGACGACACGGAGCAAATCAAGGCGGCTTACAAGGATGCCGATACCGTTATATCTGCGCTGGGTAGAAATGTGATTGAGAAGCAAATCGATCTCATTAAATTGGCCGAGGAGACCGACTCTGTCAAATGGTTCTTCCCCTCCGAGTACGGAACGGATATCGAATACGGTCCCAAGAGCCCCAATGAGAAGCCTCACCAGGCCAAGCTCAAGGTGCGCAAGTATATACGCGAGAGTGTTCAGAGACTCAAGTACACGTACCTGGTAACGGGCCCTTACGTCGACATGTTTTTGACTTTGCCGTCGATTGCGCAAGAGGCTGGCGGGTTTGACACAGCTGCCCGTAAGGCAGTCTTGATTGAAGACGGCGAAGGGAAGACTGGTCTTATCACCATGAAAGAGTACGTTTCCAATTCCACACGCTTACCTGTGTCCCCCAGTACTGACTTGAGTGTTCAAAGCGTTGGTACAACATTGGTGGCATCGCTTCGTCACCCCGAGGCATCCTTCAACCAAGCTCTCAAAGTTCAGTCCTTCGTGGCGACCGGCAAGGAAATTGTGGCCGAGTACGAGAAGCAGACTGGAGAGAAGTGGGAAATCGTCTATTCGTCGCTGGAGACCTTGAAGAAAGCTGAGGAGAAGGCGTGGGCTGAGGGCATCCCTTACGCCACCATCTTTACCTTGCGACGCATCTGGGCTGAGGGCGGCACTTTGTACGACAAGACTGACAATGAGAGGATCGGGCTTGGACCAAACGACGTTGAGAGCTTAGAGATCGCTGTCAAGAGATCACTGGGTAAGATTCAATAAATTTCGAGCGTGGAACAGACTACGATTAATTTTAAACTCTTTTATCCAACAGTTTCTAAATCCAAATTGTGAAGGTTAAGAAAAGATTGATTCCCGGTAGGCTTATGTTTACCAGATCATGTATCATGCTGGACAAACTGAATGTTACTTCTTAAAGATCCATTAGTAAAATCGATTCATTGGAAGAGATCGATCAAAAACCATCTCATGATTTCAACATTGGCATTGAATGCTTCATAAGATATGGACTCATCAGCCTGGAGCCATAGCTTTATGCGATGAATGATCAGGTACCTGAGAGTGCAGCGAATAACGGCGCTAGGAAATGTACCTTAGTTACTGAACCGGATCCCGGCCCGCTCGCGGATCCTGGAACAGCGCGGCGTGCCAGGGACTGTGGCTGCTAGCGGCGCTGAAATGCGTAACAGCGACGTGTGGCAGCTGTGGCAGCTGTGGCATGTGGGCAGCTTCCCCATGACCACCGGCGACTTCCCCAGCTTTCCCAACTTCGCTTTGTCGTCCCGATTGCACCCCTCTCGAACGAGGCAGGTTCCTTGTTCTCAACTGATTCAACTTGCCCCAAACACAAACCACCGTCTTCACACAATCCCGAGCTCACTTTAGACGACACACACAACCTCGCAGCATCCAGCGTCGTTCGCCAACATGGCTCCTTCGGGTCTTCGACAGTGCATGCACGATGTCAGCCTATACTTGCTTGTCTTAATTTCTGTCTCGACTTTGGGCCCCCTGCAGTTCGGCTTCCACCTTGTATGTCATTGCATCATTCCGCTCCAACGTCGTTTTGCTTAACCACGAAACGTGACTTGCTGACCCGCTGTGTCTCTCTTCCAGGCCGAGCTCAACGCCCCTCAAGATGTCCTTACCTGTCGAAAGAAGTCAATTGCGGCCAAGGGAGTGAAGCTTACATGGGTGCACTCGAAGGCGCCGGACCCCGAGCCCTGGCTCCCCGAGTGTATTCCCATGTCCGACGCCGTCTTCGCGACCGTCTCCTCCATCTTCACTGTCGGTGGCCTGCTCGGTGCTCTTTGTGCCGGCCCCTTGTCTTCGAAGCGCGGCCGACGTCCTGCTATGCGAGTCACGTCCATTTTATACATTATCGGTGCCATCATCGAAACCCTCGCTGGAGGTGCTGCTGCTCTTGCAATCGGCCGATTCTTCACGGGTATGGCGGCTGGCGCGTCTACTGTCATTGTTCCGCTGTACATCAGTGAAATCGCGCCGCCAAAGGAGCGTGGTCTGTTTGGTGCCATGACTCAGGTCTCCATCAACGTGGGCATTCTTGCCGTCCAAACTCTGGGCTTCTTCCTGAGCTACGGG